TGCCATTGTTTCTATAACAACATTTCCGCAAGTCAACCATGCCATCAATGCAATTTTAATTTCACAGATCTTTGGGAATAAAATATTAGCAGTAGGATATTTATTCCCTGAAAACAATTCAGTGATTTCATAAAACAACATCAACCTATTAGAAATCTCCTCAGCCATTTCCCGATCCTCCTCTAATGGTGAACATTTATATTGTGAGTCCCTTTGCTTCAAACGAGAGAAAACATCTTTATAATATAAAGCCACATGAAGCATTAAATAGGTTGAATTCCATCTAGTCTTACAATCAAGATTTAATTTCTTTGAAAAAACAATTTTCAATTGTTTAGCCGTCTCTTCAAATTTCTCCTCTCTTTTTGGTGTTGCTGTCCAAAAAGCAACACTATCTCTAACCTTCTCAATTTCATCAACAATTACCTCCAACCCATCTTTGACAATTAAGTTTAAGATATGGGCAGAACAACGCATATGTATCAAGGTTCCTTCTACCCATAACGAATCATCAGATACTTTTCCTAATAACACATTTACCATGGCATCATTAGTAGAACAATTATCCACTGTGATTGTAGACAATTTCCTATCAATATTCCAATCCATCAAACAATCTAACAAAGTTTTTGCAAGTACCTCAGAAGTATGTGGACAAGGCACATATTGAAAACTGTAAAAAACAATAGAAAGAATTACACTAAATATTCTAAACTCATAAACATAAATATATATTTAAAAAAATCAGAATAAAAATAACAAAATATTACCTGATAATTCGATTTTGCAACATCCATGAATTGTCAATATAATGTGCTGTGATGACCATAAAACCTCTCTTTTGATTATTTGAAGTCCACATGTCAGTTGTGATGGCAATTCTACTTTGATTGACCTCCAACAACTTCATTGTTTTAGCCTTTTCATTACGATAGATGCCCATAATATCTTTCTTGATTGTGTTTCTCGAAACATACTTGAACCTTGGTTGGAGAGCAGCAACAAACCTTCTAAAGAAAATATGATCAACAATTGATAGAGGTAACTCATGCGCAGTAATCATATATGCAAGCTCCCTTCTAGCCATCTCTTGATTGAAAAGTCCATGCCCAAGTTCTGTTTTTCCTTCTTGATTCTTTGAAGCTCTCAAAAATGTCTGCCTTATGTCAGAAACAGATTTCAATGGACAGACCCGAGTGTGATCACGCAAATGGCTTGTCCCATTCTTGGTCTCACCTCCAAGATGTTTATTGCAATAGACACAAATGGCTTTCCAATGACCATTAATTTTTTGCCTCCGATAATGGTTCCATGCTTCAGAAGTAAGTGGCCGCTTATGTCCTTGATCATCTTTTTTATCTTCACCAGTACCACTTTCTAATGTAAGAGGAAGAGGAACCATAGTCGAGGATGAAGTTGGTGTGGCAGCAGCACTCGGTATAATACTAGCACTTGATTCATTTGGAATTTGAATCAATGGGAGGCTAGGCTCTTGTGAAGACATTGGCTAATTGATACCTAAAAATGAATTAAATTAAAAATTAATAGTTAAAAACACTAAAGCACAAACCAGTAAAGCACAAACCAGTAAAGCACAAAAATTAAATTGAAAATTACTATGGTCAAGCATTATTATGCACCCCACTTTGGTATACCCTCCTAGTTAAAAATACTCAAGCACTAAAGTACAAAAATTAAATTAAAAATTACTAATTAAAAATACAAAAATTACTAATTAGAAACACTAAATCACTTAAGCACAAAAATTAAATTATACCAGTTAGAATCACTAAAGCAAAGCACAAAAACGGTAGCTTTAGAAATTGCATCTAATTGATACCTAGAGTTGGAGGAGAGTTTGAAAAGAATCTGAGGCAAAGCTGCAGAGGAGGAAGCCACGCGACAACCGAAAGAGAAAGAGGACGACCTAGCCTTGGAGGAGCTGGAGGTGGAGGTGAGCGGTGCTGACTTGCAGTGACGGGCTGATGGTAGGGTGCCACGGTGAGAGGCTGGCTGAGCCGACCCAGCAGCAGCCTTGGAGCTCAGCTGGAGGTGAGCGGTGAGTTGCAGGGCAGCAAGGGTAAGGGCTGTAGTGATGGGCCGATGGCACCGTAAGTGAGTCCGTCTGTCCGTGAGATGTCGAGAGTTGAAGGGTATTGCTGTGATTCTGTGAAGGTGAGTCGACTGAGAGAGTAGAGTAGGCACGGTGAGTAGCAGAGTCGGTGAGAGCTGAGAGCTGAGCTGCTGAAGGAGTGAAGGGAAGCACCAAACCGATTGGTCCGATTCACAGTGGGCTGTGGAGAATCTGGAGATGAGGGCTGAGTTTGAGCAAGAGTGAGAGTGAAGAGTGTGAGTGTGACAGAGAATTAGAGGAGAGGTCCGAGACTCCGAGAGGAAAGTCGCAGAAGTGGGAAATCCCTAATTCAGAAATCAGAATTTGCAGGAAGTGGCTGCGGCAAGCAAAAAAGGGGGCTGATTTTCAGCTGAGGGCTGAGTAAAAATGTAAAATGTGGCAGCTAGGGTTATATGTAAATTGGGCTTAAAATTGGGCTGAAAATTGTGAATTTGGGCAATTAAGTTTAGGATTAGGAAATAAGGATATTAGATTCACAAAAAAAAAAAAATTGGGTTGGGCTGAGAAGTGAGAATTGGGTTTGGAAAATTTGAATAAAGAATGGATTGTGAAATTTAAGTTATGTTGGTATTGGGTTAGTTAATTAAGTTGGGTAAGTAAAAATTAATTGTTAATATATGTACAAAAAATATATATATAAATAAATTTATATTTTTTTTTATTTTATATGGATCCCCACGGTTCCCCACGGAGTGGAGAAAATTCCCCGCGAAATTTCACGGGTAAAAAATTGCCTCCATCCTCGCCCCACGGGTAAGAATATTCTGAGAATCTCCATCCCCGTGGCGGGTATCTCCGTGAAGCTCCGCGGGTCGCGGATAAAATTGCCATCCTTATCCACAAGTGCCAAATGGTTGTAAGGAAAACACAATTCCAAAAATCTTGTGAGTGATT